CAGTGTTGCTAACTTAGCGCAACTTTTCAGAATTTCCTAAATCCGCCCCTGCTTGGGTTACTTACGCCGTGGCTCTCTGGGACCGTCCACCGTTATCTTGATGGCCCTCTGGTAGGTGGCGACTTGAGGAGGGTTGGTGAACACCGTGATGGTCAGGGTGAAACTTTTTCCTACCAGAGGAGAAAAAGAGGAAAATGTGGAAGTCAGTCGAACGCAGGGACGCTCCAGACATCCCTGTTACAGAGATGATGCATGGATGCTGCCACTGCAGCCTGAAGAACAACCGCAGGGCAAAAAAAGCCCCAGGATGGTGAGAAAAAAAAAAAAAAAGTCATGATTTAAGGTGCAGTTGTCATGACGGCCACAAGGTGTCACCCTAAGCCTGTTTCTGTGCAGCAGATTAAACTGAACAGGAACATAAAAAAGAGCTTTGAATGTCCTCAGGGACATGAACTAAACATGCAAGAAATGTAAATCTAAATAAGTTATTTGTTCTTAAAATATTGTTAAATATGGAAGTTAGGTCCGTCTGAAGGCAAAACTTCCCTAAGTTATTTACTACTGTTAACTCAAACTGGGTTATATAAATTAAACTAAGTTGTCATAAAACAGCGTTTTATTTAATTGAGGAGGAAAATTAGAAACTTTTCTAATGGAAAAAAACAATTTACACTTAATATAACAAAAAAAAGCCTGCATTGTCTTATTTAAAGAGCTTTTTATGTAATTATATTATTCTAAGAGTTAATCATTCCATTGGTTAACCATCTTATTTACCTGCTCATATTAAGGGAAAATACACGTCATTTAAGACATTTTTGCTTATATGTAGGTTGTTTTTGCAGAGCAGATGTTGCAAAACACAGTAATGAGAGTTGTGTTGAAAAGAGGAAGTAAGAGTGAGACTGAAAACTCCCCCCCCCCCAAACACACACTACAGGTTTTATTTTTAGGGGAACTCTGAGCGGATCCTTTTTTATTTGAAGGAAAAAACGTTTCTCCTGCAGAGATCAGACTGAGATCAGACTGAGATCAGACTGAGATCAGACTGAGATCGGACTGCGGCTGCATGTGGAGTCAGAGCCT